CCAAAGACTTGGACTTGCTAATAACTCTTATCCACGGGAACACACACACACAGGGTTGGAGAATGGGAAAGGATCGGAAGAGACAAGGTTTAGAATCTGTTAAAATGAGACTCTTTCTAACAAGAAACGACCAGACCAGAACAAGAGGAGAAGGCTGGGAAGGAGATGAGTTGCAGAAGAATCCTAAACTCCCTGATGAACACTATGCCCCCAAAGGGATCTCAGGAGTGGTGAGGAAAATTAGGGAGGGTCTTGTGAGCAGATGTTTTCTTTTTTCCATAGATCTGTATATCTCTTGTGCTTTGGCTGAGCAGAGTGTGTGTGGTTCAGAAGTGCCTTTGCAAAATCTGTGCTATTTAATTTAACTGTTACAAAGTCCCCAAGGGATTGAACTCAACCCAGAGTGCCTATGCAAGTGGAGTTTCAGAGAGAGGGTGTGCTTATGCTACTGGGGGGACTTGGGGATGGTCAGCACAGATCTTGGGGCCTAAGACAACTAGACCACAGGGTCCCACATCCCAACAATGGGGTACCAGCATGGTAGTCTGTACACTGGGAATGTGCTTGCAAGGCCAGACTTAGCACCCAGACACTGTCTCTGTTTGGACTCAGGAGGCTTAAAAGCATGTGGGATCCAAGGTTTGGGTCTAATACAGCAGCCTGGCAACTGTCCACCAGGGGAGTTCATCCAGAGCTGCCTATTAAAGGCTCCTACTCTCCCCTCTTGTATCAGGGAGTCTGACTGCAGGGTTCCTCAATGCAGCCCCCCTTCTCTGTTGCCAGCTCCCTGGCTTGATAGAAGCCCCCACCTATTTCTGGCCAGGTGAGCTTCACCCCCAATTAAGCCTCGTTGTGTCCTAGCTCCCTGCTGGGTGCTGCCTATGATTAGTTAGCCTTTCTTGCCAATATTAACCCCTCCAGAGCTAATGTGAGGTGAATGCCTCCATCAGAACATGAAATCATTAAAAAAAAGAGACTTTGCTAGACTCTATTGCTTTTTTCTGGTTTTTTTTGAGAGCGAGAGAGAGAGAGAGAGAGAGAGAGAATTATACATAAATGGATGAGGGGAAAGTGGTAGATGAAATAATGTTTGAATTTTGAAGCATCAATAGTGTCTCTCAATATGTTGCACTCAAAATAGATTCAAATCTGCTTGGATAACGTCACTGTCACTTGAACTGAAAATTAACTAGCTGCTATTAACAAATGGTATGGTATTGATTTAGGGGGTGGGATCTCTTAAGTACTTAAGTGATCTCTGCTGCATCGAGTCTTAATTCCTTCTTTGGTAATTTAGAAGAGGAAGTAAATGGCATGTTATTGATACTTGCAGATGATGCTAAAATGGGAGGAGTTGCGAATATCAGTGAGGACGGAGAAATAATATGAGGGGCCCAAAGATTAGAAAGTTAGGAAATTACAAAATGGGGACTTGGCTTGGAAGCATGTGGTTAACACATCTGCAGAAAAATAATGCAAAACACAGATAATAAGTAGGAAGGAGACACCCAGGAATTAGCAATGGCTGAAAGAGACACATGGGTGATAGTGAACCACAAATTAGAAATAAGTTGCAACGTGATATGCCTGCAATAGAAAGGTCAATGCTATTTTGAGCTACCAGTGCAGAGGCATCATGGCAGAGGGGCGGATAGGTAATACTCCCTCTCTCCAGGGGTCTGGTTTGACCCCACCTGGAATAGTACGCCCGTATCTGCAAAGGACATTACCAGAAACATATGACAAATTGTGGGGAGTTCAGGGAAGAGCACCCTGGAGGTGAAGGAATTGATTGATTTGGGTTGGGTTAAGGGTTAAATGTTTATAATTGGCCTTAGCAATGGCTAGTGGGGAATTACTTAGCATGTATGCTCCTGACAGATGCTCATCACCTATCAGGATCAGGTTCTATAATAGTAATGTGTGGGGCGGTATAACTAACAGTAATATGATGCAATTAAGAAAGGGAAAAATTTAGTCTGAATGTCAGGAAAACCTTCCTTCCTGAGACTGAGATGTATGAAGCTGCAGAATAAAAGTCTGATCCTATCTGCTACAAACTTCTCTGGGAGCAGAATAATGAGTCCATACACCCCAATGGAGGTAGTGGAAACCCCATTGCTTGGGACAAGGCAGAGAGAGACGTGTGCTAGAGGGAACATGGCCAGGGAGATGGACTTGATAAAGCTAAGAGGTATTTTCCATTCCTAACTCCTGTGATGCTATGATGCTCCCAAAGCTAAAGACTTCATCTAGCACAGCAGACAGTGCTGCTGTGGGTCTGTTCTTTTGTTACTGCTATAAACGAAGCATCATCTGGAGAAATAAATACAATTAACAGAAAAGCTTCTCATGCACCACAGGCCACTCTACTGCCAAGAAACTGTTGTAAGCTCTGCAGCCTGTGATTTCCAGCAGGGAGGAGGGTAGCACAGACTCTGCTGGCTCATCCAGGGTAAAGCTCCCTTTTGGTTCTCCTGCCCATGGACTACTGTATAAGTCTCTGCTCTGATGATGGGCAGAGTGAGTCCAGTCACTAGTTGGGGCTCTGCTAATAGATAACAGCTGGGCCACTGGTTAGTAGCTGTGTGAGGTGTCAATCGTTCTGGCAAGCCTGAAATATTAGCACACAGCACGTTTCATTTACAGAGCAATTCTACAAACACGTTGTGACAGAGAGACTCCTTGCCAAAGGGTCCCCAGTTCTTTGCAAACAACTCTCATCTCAGACCTGACAAACTCACGACACCAAATGTGTCATGCAGGTATCTACAGAAAGCTCCTAACTTGTCAAGATTCGTAATCACTGAGCAATGAATGCATTGGTAATATTTAAGGAATAATGTATTTATACTGAAAGTCTTCTCTATGGACTTGGAGTGAAAGTTAGTGTCCAGCAGATATGTCTCAGTGATTGCCCAGGCAGGAGGGAGTCGTTACCCTGCTCTGGTTAGCCGGTGATGCAATGCAAGGTTCAGTTGTCCAGCCTTGCTCCATCCCAAGACTATCAATGGAAAAACATCAGAGACCATTACAAGCAATCAAAACCACTTGGAGGTTAAAATAAAGGGAACATTACAACAAACAGAGAGCCACCCTGCCTATGAACAAAGACAAAAGACTGTTTCAGTATAACAGAGGGTGAGGAAAGGTACCTTGTCTCCTTTCACTGAGATGATATCTTGGGGAGCGGGGATGTTCTCATGAAAGATTGGATCCTGGCTGCGGGGAAGGCAGTCAGCTCTGCAACAGGTTGAACTTTGGGTTGAGGGAGGGAACTTACTTAATTAAATAGGAAAGGTTACCGTTAATAAGTGTAGATCCAGGTTTGCGTTTTATGATTTTGTTATGGCAACCATTTGTTTCCATCACTCCCTCTTGTTTCTAGCATAATCTCTTCCCTTTCTTAAATAAACCTTTGTTTGTTGTATTGTGTGTTATAAAGGAGCAGTGATTTAAGGTAAAATCAGTAAAGTGGGGTCCACTGCTCCTTTGGGAGCAGAGGATCTGGGATTTCTGAGGGTAGGCAGAGTCAGCGGCTGGATATCACAGGCGAATGCTTCAAAGTGACTCGGGGGTGGGGGTGCACCTATTAGAACATGCAAGGTGAAGACAGGGCTGGCATAGCCCAGAGGAGAGTGCTTGAGCGGCTGAAAGGCCGTTGGTGTTCGGGAGCTCACACCCAGGTAGGCACAGGCAAGACTCCCTCACGCTGGAGGCAGGGGGTAACAAGGTGACTCAGAGTCCTGGGTGCCCCAAGAATTGTCACACACACTGCCTGATTTTTCAAAAGGGCCAAGCAATAACCCTTACAACCCCGTGGGAAGGTAAATATTAATTCCCATTATACAGATGTGAATGGAGACAGCAAGATTACAGGAGCTGCCCGGAGCTATGGAAGAACCTGGAGACAAAGCCAGGATTAGAAGGGAGAGGGGGTTCCTGACTCCTTTTCCCATGCAGAGAGCTGGAGAATTGGTGGGTTGGAGAGATTCAGGGGGGAGTGTTTTACAGAGGAGCAACAAAGGAGAAGGCTCTTGCATCAACAGCAAGGGGGAGAGAGGAGGGCAGTGGTCAATGAACACTCCCCACCCCCAGTCTCTAAACACCTCCATAAACCTGTCTCTGTGTCCCAGGGCTTTTAATAATGCTTGCCGTAATCAATCAGCGGAGGTAATGGCCTGGAGAGCAGGAAGCATTGTATCTGAGCTGAGCGTGCAATCCTATCACAAAGGAGTTTACGGGGGGTAATGTTTTTACAGTTATAGTCGGTGGTGAACCGTTCTGCATTTCAAGCACTTCTACCTTGCTATTAAATAACTAATAATTAACCGGGAGAGGCCATTCGAAGAGTCTGGTGTGGTGATGTCTGGTAGTAACTTTTTTTTTTTAATGATACAAATCTATGCCAGGACTACGTGCTGGAAGACAGTAAAACACATATAAGGGGAGGGAAAGCGAGTTTGTGATGGCCAAACTTTTTTTGATTTATAAATAAATCTGTTTTGATATTTGCAATTGAGTTGGCAAAGTCTCTAGTGCTTTGTTCCGGAGGTTGCTTAGAAGCAGGGTACCGCTGGGTTTATATCTAGGCAAGCGGCCACCTCCATCAGCGGAAACCTACTGTAGCATTCTGCATTCTTCCTAAAAGATTTATCTGAAACAAGGTCCATGGCTGGAGTGTTTAAAAATGAAAAACAGCACCCCCCCCCCAAGTGTTTGTACAGTGTGGCTTTAATTGTAATTGTGTTTCTTCAGGTTGCAGTGTGGTGAGGGGGTGGGGAGGGATGTTGTATCTATAGAAAATGCTTTGAGCTCCCTGGCTATTTCAGGAAGACTCCAAGTCTCCTCCTCCTTATGTAAATAAACATGACAGATCCCACTGCTTGTGCTGAGGCAGGGAGGATCTGAGAGTGGGTGGAGGCTGCTTGAAAGGGTGAGCAGCATTCTGTGGTGCACGGATGTTATGTATGCACTTATTGGGAGTCGCTAAGCCGGTGTGTGTCTGTGCCTGTGCATGCTGATAATGACTGAATGTGCGGACTTCTACATCACTGCTCAGTGAGAAAGGGACTGCAAGGTAGCCAGCCACCTTGCGCAGTACTATGGGGGGACAGATAACAAGAAACACTCTATACGGTAAGGTGCTAACCACCGCTGGTGTTTATACAGCAAATTATATATGTAAATTCTTAGCCCTCTGCTTGACCCTTCTGCAGCAGAGAATATGGCTCTGAAAGGTAAGCTAGGTGCAACGCTGGGGACTGCTCTCTCTGCAATTTTTTCCCCTAGTTCTCTTAAAAATCTTGTTTGAGAGCTGATCATATTTAAAGCAGAAGCCTTGGGTAGGGTGAGTGTTTATCTTACCTAATTCCATATGTCGTCTTGTTTTATTGCTTTGAATGAGAGACAAATATTTGTCTATATAATGTTGACTACTGTGCTGACAGATAGCATGGACAAAAAGAAAGTATGTGTATATACCGTGACAACCTTGACCAGGAAAAATGGCCAGTAAGCATCAATGTAGGTTTTAATTTGAGAAGGTATCAGGGTTTCAAAATCCAAATGTTCATCTTTATCATTGGGGTTTTCTTTTAATCAAAGATTGTGTGTTTCTGGTCTATTTTATTTTTAAATTGTAAATTTGATATGGTTTAAAACAAAGATGCTGGCTTGAACTGATTGAGCTTAGATAACTAAGCTAAATCCATTGAGTACAGTATGCTGTATGTGTTTGCAGGATAATGTAATACTGTGAGTGGGGGATGGGGAATTAGATAATATTGAATAGGACAGTGCTGAAGCAAACTTTAGGACTGTTAATATGATATACTGTGTGTGTGTGTGTGTGTGTGTATCACACACCAGAATCAGCTTGTGAGAAATACTGTACTCAATTAATATTGAGCTTGCTCATTGCTTTGAAATGTTTTCTTTAATTTCTGGACATTGGACTGAGTCTGGAGTCTACCTGAATGAATATTTGGGTATGCATGATATTACAATAATAAATATGAATGTAAAATGTTCTATAAAGACATATTTACAAACACAGATACATTATTCTCATACATACACAAAATGTAAATATTTCTTAGTTTGAGCTGAGATGTATTATGAATACATTCATTATAAATATTTGTCTGCTCCAATCCTGATTTTTCTTATTTTCTCACCATTGTCAAACAACAATATAATTAACAAGTAAATATATTCAACAAATGTGTATTGATTCCTTTCTCTCATATATAGCAAGGATGTCTCTATAGATATTAGCATTTCTTCATGAGTTACCTTCTGCATTTTAACCTTTGGTCAGACCATTTTGTGTCTGTCTTTGCTATCCCTACAATGCACATGCTATTTGCAAAATAACATTACTGTTATGTCATCAGAAATAAAAAGAAGGAAGTCCCTGGATAGTTGCTTTGTCATCAATGCTGGATTTTTTCCCACTTCATCTTTTTCTTTAATCTATTCTTTTCTAAGTGAAATGGAGAAACCTGGATAGAAACATTATTTGCATAGTTGTATCTAGGTGTTGGGTTCCTCTGCTGACTTGCCACAACCATTGCGGTGATCACACAACTTCTGCCTTTCAGTGATACTGCACCAAGTGAACCCAGTTCTTGAAGTTTTACTTTTGTAGGGGGACGAAAACAGAATTAGGAGACGTGGGTAATTAACGTTCTCGATTTTGTCTCTTTAAATAAAGAATAAAAGCTGCAAACTGTATGATAAGAGATGCACAACTGATAGCTGAGACCAGAAATGATTTGAAAAGTGATATCAATAAAGGATTTTTTTTTTAAAAAGCATATGTAGTAAAACAGTTTTAAATTGGAAATTTGAGGACAACTGCAGTGGTGGTTTGTCTGCCTGTGGCTACCATACCTCAAGTTCCATATTTCTATTGACTGCAGTTTTTTTATTTCAAAAGTACCTGAAAATGTTTACTTTATTAAAATGATAATTAAGAACGAATAAGGTAATGCTAGTGAAAGCAGCTGGATTGACAGCCTGGGGGACTGGAATCTTTTGGTTATAAAGAGAACAGGTGCGGCAGAGGCAGAGGCAGAAGCATTGCAACCGCCCACCAAACTGACCCTTGCCAGTATCCCTTGACCCTAAGCTGGAGGACTCAGGTGAAATTTTCAAAAGCACCTAAGGATACGTCTACACTTACTTCCTGGTTTGGCGGCAGGCAATCGATCTTCTGGGATCGATTTATCGCGTCTTGTCTAGACGCGATAAATCGATCCCGCAAGTGCTCGCCGTCGACGCCGGTACTCCAGCTCGGCGAGAGGAGTACGCGGCATCGACGGGGGAGACTGCCTGCCGCGTCTGGACCCGCGGTAAGTTCGGACTAAGGTACTTCGAATTCAGCTACGTTATTAACGTAGCTGAAGTTGCGTACCTTTGTCCGAAGTGGGGGGTTAGTGTGGACCAGGCCTAAGTGACGTAGGAGACTTGGGGTATGTCTACATTGCAGTCACGAGGCGCTATTGCAGCATGCGTAGGCATACCTGAGGTAGCTTTGATTGAGAAAGCGTTCTAAAAATAGCAATGTAGCCACAGCAGCACGGGCTACCCTCATGGGTACAGTCCTGCCCGGAAACCCGGGTACATACTCGGGCGGTTAACCAATGCTGCTGCCTGTGCCACCATGGCGACACTGCTGTTTTTAGCAAGGTTGCTCAGAAATGCCTGCATGTCTTCCAATTGGATGTCCTGATTACAGAGTAGACATAGCCTACTGGAGCTGGCGGGTGTAATTTCCAGCTGAAGCAGACATACCCGTTCTAGCTCTGATGGAGCTAGCATGCTAAAAATAGAAGTGTAGCTGTGGTAGTGGGAGGGGCAAGCTGCCCTGGGTACATACTTAGGGTCTTGAATGGGATTGTACTCGGGGTTATTAGCTGCTCTTGTCAATGGTGCTGCTTTCTATTTTTAGGCACTAGCTCAGTCAGAGCTAGTGTGGGTATGTCTCCTCGAGCTGGAAATCACAGCTTCCAGCTCCAGTGTAGACGCATCCTAAGTCTCATTGGAAGCCAGCTGTAGTGGATTGAGTTGCCTAGAGTCCATTAAATCCTTGGTGCCTCTGCTGAAACTGCCTCCAAGGATATCGGTTGGAGCTAGCGATGGTGGGGCTAATTTGATGTGATGTGAACACATGTCCACTGGAAAGCAGGCGGAAACCACAAATTCCTGTCCCAGAGGCCATTTCACAGGTGCCAGGTAGCAATGAGTAATTCATCTGGGTTGTCACTGACCCTGGCTGGATTTGAATGAGTGACTTAGAGAGGAAAGTCTTTTTATATCATCTATGATTTAGGTAGCCTGTTAAGTGGTAAAAACAGGATGATGGTGGGTCATTTGCTATGGAAGGTTTTGGCTGCACTAATGCTGTATGGGGGGGGGGCTTACAATGGACAGGAAAACCTATATACACTCTGTCACTGTAACTAGCATAGCATCCTCCATTCAATAATCTCAAGTCCCTTTACAAACAATGAATTAAGCCTCATCATATCCCTGAGTGGATGAATATTGTCATTATCCCATTCTGCAGACAGACACTGAGGAATGGAGAGGTAAAGTGACTTGCCCAAGGGCAGTCAGTTTGTGTCAGAGCTAGGAGTAGAACCCAGCAGCCTTGCCTCCCAGCTCTGTACTGCAATCACAAGACCACCTCTCCTCCCTGTTAATATTATCTGTAAATATTATGTCTGCTTAAATTATTCTAAAAGCTATAGGTAAGCTTATGTTTGGAGTCCTTTGTGGTGGGGGGAGTGGTGATTTTATTTGAAATGACCATTGTATGCAGTTCTAGTGCACTCCTGTTTCCACTGACTTCAGCGAGAGTGTGGAAGGACAGCCGTGCTTGCAGATTGTCCTAGTAGTGGGGTTGATGGGTTCTCAGTGGAGTCCTGTGTCATCTCTCAGTGGAGTCCGGTCCCACCACAGGGGCTTAGAGGTAAGGAGCTTTAAACACGAGAGGATGGAGTTGAATTGGGTTGAGCTTCCTGTAACAGATCCCGGAATGAAAACCTTCCCAACATGCAAATAATGTAACGAATTTATTGCATGAATGACGAACCCCTTGATTTTTAAAAGAAAATGTCTAGTAACTGTGTGTGTACACCAAAGGCAAGGTTCATCACTGTCTTGCCCCATGTAGATAAATGTCATGCAGTGTCCGGGCATCATTATGTAGTCTCTGTCCATGTGCCACTGTGCATTATATGTATTATAATTTATCCTATTCTGTTTCTCTCTCCCTCCCCCAAACCCATATCAATACTTAGTGTAATTTTGGATCCTATATATATAATCCAAAGAGAGTAAAAGTTACAAACAGTAAGTTCAAGGGGAGCATAGCTGGGGCCATAAACTTTTGAAAAAGACGATATCCATAAATGTTTTTGTTTAAAGGGTCCTTTTAAAAAGAAAATGTTAGCCCCCACGGAGATTTGCCTTGTTTATCGGAGACCGCAATGTCCCTATTTTGACGAAGTGAGCATTTGTGTGCATAAAATATATACATACAAAATTGCACTAAATATTTATATCAAACAGTACTTGCCATTTAATCCTAAATGAAACATAGCTACAATATCTACATATATAGTATTAAGCGTATCCCTGCAATACGTTGGGGGTTGGACTCTCTATTGCCTGCTGTATTCCTTTGTAATGCTCTTCTCTGGAAAGAAGTAAAAATGGTTGTTTCATATTATTGATCATTCAGGACGCTACTGTAGCTCGTTTGCTGAAGACCTAATTCAGTAGGGCCAAATCCCTGGGGTTTTACCTGAGACTGCAGGATTGGGGCCCATTAGTTTTGATTTTGCTCTGCTTTTCTTTCTCAGTATAAAGATAACTAAAAAGGCTTTTGCAAGGGAAGCTGCTGTGCTGAGAGAGACAGTCATTTTTTGTATACATGTAGAGATTTCAGACTGACATGTACAGATCTCTTCAGGGGGCTTTCTGCTACCCAGGATATACACCGTGGATTAATTCTGATGCATGGGGTTGTGTGTATGTGTGTACACACGTTTTGCTTAGCTAACCTCACCCAATATAAATGATGATCACCAATAATGCTCTCATTTCAGGGGTTTAATTTTATTTGT